TATAGAGGATATTAAACTTAGAGACAGCAGCAGTGAAACTTCCTAACTCGTGTGTCAGATTATTTGACTTTAACATTCTATTTATGAGGGCTTTTCATATTTCTGAACACTCAGTATTGTAAGAGAGTGTGTGTCTTGGTATAAGTCTACATTGCTCTTTTGGTTAGTCTGTTGGTCTGGAAGGCTTCTGTTTAATTTTGTTTTCCAGAAGACAAACTGGAGAAACCAGAGAAGCCCATAAATGGGGAAGACAAAGGTGACTCAGGTGTTGACACCCAAAATAGCGAAGGGAATGCAGATGAGGAAGATCCACTTGGACCCAACTGCTACTATGACAAAACCAAATCCTTCTTTGATAACATCTCTTGTGATGACAATAGGTATGGCCTGTAAGAGGAAGCTTGTTAGTCTGCTTCATGCATGCCTGTGTCACAAGGCAGTGTAGGCACTACTCATTACGATGAACTCTGAATCAAAAGTCAGTAAGAGTTACATCCACATGCAATGGACAAAAAAACCACATGAATTTGAAAGCACTTTTTTTTTTCCTGTACACAAATGCAATGCATTAATAGCAAGACAATTTTAACCACTGTTTAAGAATCATGCTTCTAGAACTTGAGTGTACATACTATATAATCTCCTTTCCAGATCTGTTGACATTTTTATTTTTTGTGACAGAATTAGCACCTTGGTTAAATCAGTGTTGACTGTGATTTGTTAATGGTTTCTAAGCAGATTACATAACTATCTTGGCCAGTAGGATTGTTTAAATGGGAAGATAGCATTACAGGAAAATAAAAGCTTATCTTTGCTGTTGCCTTATTTATTAGGCAAGATGATGTGGATTGCTAACCTAGTTTGAATTAAAGGGGGGGAGGCTTTGTTATGTTTTAGTGGCAGCTAGATAAGATAAGCACATATAACTACAAACTCTTACTTTCTGTTTGCTGTTTTAAATTGCAGACAGCTCTTAGTTATTTTATTGTATTTTGCTGTGTGCAGACAATACAGGCTTTGTCCTTCTCTATAGGAAACTTAGTGTAATCAGGTTATAACCAACACTGTAACATATCCCTTTTTGCTGAGTTAAATGATTTGCGGCAGACATGCAGATACTTGGAGAAGGCATAATTTGGAAATTTACAATGTGATAATGCATCATTTTTTCGTTTCATTGGCTTTCTGGCAATACTAACAAAGTTAGGCAATCTTCCTTCTGAAAGCGTTTTTAAACAGCTAAACAAATCAATCCTTGTTCCTTTGTGCGTGGCAGGGAGCGGCGACCGACCTGGGCTGAAGAAAGAAGATTGAATGCAGAGACCTTTGGAATACCGCTGCGCCCGAATCGTGGCCGTGGAGGGTTCCGAGGCAGAGGGGGGATTGGCTTCCGTGGTGGAAGAGGGCGAGGAGGTGGAAGAGGTGGCTTCACTGCCCCCCGTGGATTTCGTGGTGGATTCAGAGGAGGTCGTGGAGGCAGGGAGTTTGCTGACTTTGAATATAGGGTAAAATATATTTAATCTTATTATGACCTGTTCAGTTTCTCTGGAAACTGGTGGTAAAACATCTGCTTTTAGTTTTGATGTTGGACTACAAATTCTTGAATAGTATTTTTGCAGTAATTAATTGAAAATCTGTTAATGTTTGGTACCTAGCGTTACTTCACAATCAACAGCAACTAAAACTAAAAGTTGCCTTTCTTCATGTGCCCTAAATACTTGTTCTGTAGCTGGATTTGAAGAAAAATGTAAAAGGTTTTACAGATCCAATACAAGTATTCAAAATAAGAATTGGAAGCGTTTTTCTAATCAGTATGGAAAACGTGAAGGCTGAGAGGGAAATATTTAACTGGCTTACAGTGTGCAAGGAACTTGTTTGACTTCATTGTGAGTTGACACAAAGCTTACATACCTAATATTCTATATAGCCACTAAAATATAGTAGTTGAAGTGTAGAGATGACCTTTTGCAAAAGTCAGGTCAAAAACTACTATTGAGCTATAGTTAAATAGCTGTTGGGAAAGCTACGACACAGCTGACTTTTTTCAGCTACTCATATAGTAAAAAGGAACTGTGGGAGATAAAGCATAAAAAGAGAAAGAGAAGATCCCTGCCCATCCCATAGAAAAGGTGGCTTTTAAAAGATTAAAACTACTACTTTCATTTGAGCTGAATGAGGCATAAAAATTCTTTAAAGCATTATGCACAAACCACCACGTAAGCCTATTAACTGAAGTAACCTGATATGCAAACATGCTTTCATCATGATGCAAACGTAGAAATAGTAGTTTGTTCAGCAAGAGCTATGGCAGCTAAAAAGCATAACTTTCCTTCTACAGTGCACTTGGGCAGTTTGTTGCTTTTGCAAAGCTGTCAAGATGTCCTATTTTTAACTCCTGTTCCTATCAGCCATTCCGAGGAAAAGGACAGAATTAGATGTCACCCTCAGCTAGCAAAGCAATGTATTCTGTGCTAGTGGTATCTTAGATACACTTCCTTTTCCTTAGAAACAAACTAAAACTCTGGTGTTTTTTTTTCAGCACTAATTGATCAGACAGGTTATTTAAATCAGGAGAACTGAGTTGCTGGCGAAACTTAAAAAATAAAAAACTAAAATTTTATTTCAGTGCAAGCCATTTTTTTTGACATTATCTTAAACTTGAAAGGACAGAAATTATACTGTTCAGAATCAGTAACATACGTAATTAATGAAAATGATGCAGTTAAGTGTAGCCTTTTACATTCTGACTCAGGAACTTTTTCTGGTATCTTACCTTGTGAGTAGCTAGAATTTCTCCAGTGCAAAATCCTGGCTTTCTGGTTGAACAGTTCATTTAAAAAAAAATTAAGTCTTTTTTCATAACAAAAGTTTCTGACTGTCCCTCAGTTATTCCTTTGTTAAATTGCAAGAATTAGTCCTGCAACTTGAAGATACTTTTGGTAGCTGAGCATGGCTTGAAATGAGGAGTTAAAGATCAAAGGTTGGAATTAGCGAATGAAAAATGTTCACAGCTTTCCAGTGAACTAGGAGGTGGTGTAAAGACTGAAGATTTGTGCCACAACTCCAGTCAGTGAGTAGCTGCTTCAGGGTGTGCCAGACTGGGGGTGCTTTGGCCAGATATTACAGAGGCCTCCTTTGTCATTTTGGAGCATGAGAAGTAGTCATCACAGTGCATCTTCTCCCAGTGCTGTTACCCAAATTAATCTGTTGTTTTTGTTATTGCAAAATTAATTGTAACATTCTACTGTTGTTTCCTCTAGAAAGACAACAAAGTTGCTGCATAGTCTACAGGAAAGCTGAAACTGCGTGAACGTCTAGATCTTCATCCAGAGAATTAGTTTCAATCTCTGCAAAGAATGAAGTTAATTTGCTGTATACTTGTCACCAGCACTGGGATTTAACTATTTAATTTCAAAGGGGTGTAATGCAGTTACTTTTTGAAAAATGGCCATCTTTGAAAACAGTGAGCATTAAATATATTTGAGACAGAAGGATAAGTAATTTCTTATGTATAGTTAATTATAAAGCAGTACTTCGATGGAGTTTAAGTATTTTTTCATCACTGAAAGGATTTTTCTTATTACTAAACTGTATTTGATAATTGCTTCAAGTTGTAAGGACAATAATTGTATGCAGAAGGCCGTCGATACTGTGAGTGTTTTGATCCACTGAAGGTTGTTTTTTGGAAATCCTGTAATATCCCTTTTGAGATAGTTGTACTTTATCAACTAGGGTGCTGGACAGTAGAAAACTTGCTTTGTCAGTCAGATATGTACACACAGTAAATACTGTTTCTTAGGCAAAGGAAACTTTTTATATAGTTGTAAAATTCCATTATATCCCATTGCCAAAGAAACATTACAAACTTTGTATAGCTGTATAAAAAGCAACTAATTTTTTAAAGAATAAACATTTTTAAGTCGGCAAACATACTGTGTTATTGCAGAAGTTGATATGCTGAAGAACACTGAATTAGTTGTTTTTTTTTTTTTTCTTTAGCAGCTTTTCAGGCTTAAGTGTTTGATTTTATATTTGGAGTATAATGAAGATTTGAAAATGTTCTTCCATTACATAGAACTGGATACACTCTTGACTTTTCTTGCAAGAAATTGATTTTGTAGCTTCTGGCATATCACAGGATTTGACCAAATTAAGGAGATATTTTCAAATAAGGACAAAAAAAATCATATGTCAATTTGCAATTAATTTTACTTAGTGATAAATATTAACTTTTTTTTTCTTAATAATGGACTGGGCACATGAGTTAAAGCGATTCTCCTGGCACGCCTGGGACAAAAAGTATGTCTCCATTTGTCAGTTCTTGAAATGTTAACTTTGATGTAATACCTGTAGACATAAGCAATTTAAAGAATTCTTAGTGTTTGGAGTTGTTTGCATTTTGATAGACCATAGCTTGGAGACAATAAAAACCTGGTTCTAAGACAGTGAATCCGCAAATGACATAGTATGGACTTTTTGCCAATTCTGAACGACTAGTTACAATTTTTTGATATGCTGAAATAGAAACCTGGTCATTTGTGTCTGTATATGTATATGAAGGCCACAGGAATAAAGGGATCCAAAGATTAAAACATTTTGATCTAATTTGATGAATTTTTTTGTTACTTTATCTTCAAAGTACTCAGTGGGGATAAAGATGTGGAAAACTGCACTGTTGGAAAAATTGGAATATTTAAAAGTGGGTGATAGAATCTTAATTTTATAACTTTTGTATAGCACTACAAGGAAGTATTTTGTAATGGGTTCCTTACTGAGGTCACTAGGCGGTAGTTACCCTTGTTTAGTAGCGTTCTGCATGTTAACAGCGCTCCTGCGGGGCCGGCGAGGTGTGGAGGCAGCGTGACGGGCCGGGCGCGTCCCGTGAGCGGCAGAGGGAGGGGGGCCGGGGTTGGTTTTCTTTTTTGTTTTTTTTTCATTGGAAAGCAGAATAAACTGTTCAACCCCACCCGGCTGCGGGGCTTTACTTGGGGCGGAGGCGCGGGGCGGGGCGGGGCAGCGCTGAGGGGAGCCCCGGGGGAGGCGGGGCCGCGGCGTTCCCGGCAGGCGCTGCGCGGGGCAGTGGCGGCGCCATGTCGGTGGCCTTCGTGCCCGAGCGGCTGCGCGGGAAGGCGGAGGTGAACCAGGAGACGCTGCAGCGGGTGAGGGGGGGAAGCCGCGGGGGGCTCGGGGAGGAGGGGGGGGGTCCGGGGCCGAGCGGGCGCTGACGGCGCTGTGTGTGTGTGTGTCTGTGTGTGCCTTAGCTGCTGGAGGAGAACGACCAGCTGGTGCGCTGCATCGTGGAGTACCAGAGCAAGGGCCGGGCGACCGACTGCGTGCAGTGAGTGGAGACGGGGCGGGAGGCTGAGGGGCGGGCACCCGTTGTGGGGGTGGGGGGGGGGGGGGGTGTGCTTCCCTCCCTCCGTGTCGGCCAAATCACCAAAGCGCTGCTTAAAGCCCGGGTGACTCACCCGTCAGCAGGCAGTCACGGCCTTCCAGTCCTTCCGCGTAACGTCTCCTCCTCTCGCAGGTACCAGCACATCCTGCACAGAAACCTCATTTACTTAGCCACCATTGCTGACGCTACGCCCCCCGACACGCAGAAGGCTGCAGACTGACGGTGTGCACCTGCCCAAACGCCGTGATGGTTTGGAGAAGCTGTAGGAACACTTGTATAGAGCCCCACCTCAAGAGCTGAGAAGGCGTAGTCCTGAAAGGCTGGTAAAGAGGCATACTTCTATGTTAAAAATATGAGTGGAGGTCCTTTATGTAGTACTAGAATAGGTGTTTCGCCTGTTATTATAAGTAGAGCTTCAGGGAGGTAACTGTCACATTTTTTTCTCTACGAAAATTGTAGTATATTTCTGAGAGGAGCATGATGGTGGGGACAGCAGCACCAGTGCTGCTCTTCTAAGACTTGTGTCTTCAGTGAGGCAGCAACTGTTACATGACTTAGATTGTGTAACAGTAAGGCAAGCCTTGAGTTTCTCTCTAGGTCCTAAGTGACCATGGTGGGTGCTGTCAAATAGGTAAGCAATAGACTGGTTTGTTATATTTTACCATAAATATTATGCTTAAACAAAATGATTTTTTATGTAAGAAGTGTAGTCTGGATTAATGTGACACATTCACTAAAACTCTGTTAAATAGGAACTTTCATAGGAAAGATGGGGCTGTTGCATAGCGGAAGGCAGTTAAGCACAAGGGCGAATTGTAACCTCTAGTTGAGTGAGCTGGGCTTTTGCTCCACTTGCATCAGGATTTCTCATTCCTGCTTGAAATGTTCTGTATTATAGACTCTGTGAACAAGTAAATTTTGCAAAATGGATTTGTGTGTGTTGTGGGTGTTTGTCAGCACTTACCTTCAGCAAGGGGACAGCTTACTTGTACACCTGAGCATGCGTTTCTGTGGCACCATTAAACATAAATTAAATATACCCCTCCCCCAATTAAAAAAAAACCCAAACCACAAAGAGGTAACTCTGCACTCACTACCACCAAAAATATTTACCTTGCCAGAAACAAGCAACTTGAAGTTTTAGCAATGTTTCTCTGCCCTAGTTCAAAGATAACGCTAAGGCCTTCTCTAAATCATGCACTTCAGCGCAGTCTGTGTAAAAGAATAGCTTTAAAGATGGTTCAGATTGTACAGTGCATGAAGTTCTTTTTTTTATGCATCAGTAAGTAGGCAGTTGACAACTTCCAAACTGCTAAATAACCCCATACTAAGGAAGGTAAGATCTTGGTTTACAAACCAAAGTTACAGTTTAAGGTGCTGCTTATTTTCAGTAAGGTGCATATTTTAAACAGGTATGACCTATTAAATGTATATCTTTAATAAAGCAAATAGTTTACTTTTACATAAGCTTTAAAATACAAAATGTACAGTTCCAGTTCAGAAGCATTAGCTATTCACAAGAAGCACTGCAATAAGGGTAAGTTAACTAAGCACCAAACCCTTGCACTTGGCAGTGTAAGTGAAATTTAATGGCAAGACTCATATGCCAAGTGCAACAATTCTTAAAGTTACCAGTGTTCAGAACAATCGGAAGCAAAGGACATAGTAGCACCTACGTGGTCAAAATGCAGACAAACTTAGTTTCCTCAGTTCACTTCTGTAGGTCCAGAAACCTGCCAGCATTTGTATATATGAATCAGCTGCAAAAATTAGAGCAGTAATTTTTGGCACTTGTTAGGAAAAGTTCAAAATTAAGTGTTTTCAGTAACTTCCATTTTGGTCTTAGTATGAATAACCAGTAAGTACAACCAAATTTAGGATTTAATATTAGATCTAAATGACAAGATTTAGTAAACTCAAAACCATTCATCAAGTTAAATAACCACTAACATTTTCAGCAGAAGGTTTTCAAAATTATAGTAGTACAGACCATTAACAATTTACAGACAAGCCACACTGATTGTGCAAAGCACATTACTGTAAAAAGTCTATGTACAGCAAACAAATCTTTGTAAACATGGTAAGTATGAAGTTTCAGAAAACATGGTGACAATATCATAAATACAGGCAACATTGGCATCCTCAAACAGCACAAAAAGGTAACAATCTGGGCCTGCAAATATAGCCCGTCACCATACAAACAAAAAGGTGGATGGGTCTTAAATACCCACATGTTTAATAGTTTTAGTGTTGTGTATACCTATTTATATATATATATATGTATTTTTTGGTATCTTTAGATATAGATGTACTTAGTTTGTAAAAACAAAAACAACAAATGTGCTTTCTCTTCATTGAAAAATTATGTAGTTAGAACTAATAACCCATTTTACTAGTAGTTAACATATTAGAATGATATGACTTAAGAAAAATACAAAAATAAGATTAATACTGTCAAAACTCTTATACCAGAAAATATTGTGGTTTTTAGACTCTTTCAAAGATGAAATATGAAAATTTAAATAAGCTCTAACTATATAAAGAATCTTCTGTAATCTCAGTTAATATACAGTGGGATAGCTATACATATATTTACCATTGTTCTTCACTTTTTAAGCACCAGTCACTCCCAGATCCACTTTGGTTGGAAGATTATTCCCAATTCCACAGGTTCACTTAATGGCACATATTGACTGCAAATAATTACTATATCCTTTTAAAAAAAATAATGTTCTTTTAGCTAACTGCTACCCCACATTTCAGTTCTAGTATCTTCTGAGCCAGCTCACAATTTTTTTTTTTATTTTTTTAATTATTATTTTTTAATCAACTGTAGCATCTGAAATAAGACTTTAAATATATGCAAGTAGTCTTTTAGGCTATAATTTCACACATTTAAGGAGCACTGTGTGGATAAAGCCTTTGGCCAAATGAAACAGTAACAAGTTATCTATGTATTTGAAAACCAGTGTCACGTTATCCACACAGATGCCATCTACTTTAAGCAGCTCAGATTATAGTTGTGACACAAATTTGAGTGGTTCGGTTGATCTATACTTAGAGTAAGGAAACTACCACAAAACTCAATTTCGCAACTGTTTCTGCAACAGTTTCATAATGAACTCACTTGTGTGGCACGTGAAAAGCTGCTGTTGTACTTCATTAAAAAAAAAAAAAAGTTGCCCAAAGGCCATTTATGGAGAATACAAAGGTTTTACAGCTTGTCCATTATAAATTTAAACACAGTGTTGAGCAAAGTGACCACTATATATTTGCTTCAATGTGTTTCAGTAAGATGTTTAACTATAAATCTATATGAAAATAGCTATAAAATACAGTGTTTCTTGTATGGTAGTCCTTCAGCAGTTATTTAAAAAAAGCTTTTGAAAGTAAAGGCAATATACACATTTTTAAAAGCATTTCTAAATCACAGTTTTGGGCTGTTCCATGTACATCAAACAAACATATTGGCCATATTGCTCAGCACTGCAAATAAGATTCAAGAGTTTGTAGATCCTCCCCCCAACCCCTGGCCCCCAAGCCCTCTCAATTCCATATTTAATGAGATAAACAGGATCTAGCCAATACACAGTTATGAAACAAAGGATACGTAGTTTATGACTGTTTGGCCCTGTGCTGCATTTTCCAATATGAAAAGCATTTAGTACTGATGCAGGTAAGATGGTCTGCGTTCGTGCTTTACTGGAAAAGATTTAAAGCCCTTATTTATCTGTTTGTGCTGGGAAGCCTGTTGCTGCGATTGCTGTTGCTGCGCATAGGCAAAGCTAGAGGAAATTCCTGTTGCTGGAGCGCAGTCGTTGGCTGCTGCCCACACAGGTGACTGGAGGATCTGCATTGTGTCACTCCACTGGCTGACCGGGCTGCTCATGGGATACAAAGACGCACTCTGACTGGGTAGTGTATTCGTGACAGAGGACGCATGCTGCCAGGGTGCCTTTGGAGGCCAGGTTTTGGTTTTATTATCCTGAAAAAAAAAATAATTAGTTGTTTTGTGGTTGGTTTTGTTTGACCAAAATGCTTTTGAGACAATACTTAATGTATCTTATTCCCTCTCAACAACATTTCAGAAGATTAATCTTTAAAAATAGAACTGATGCATATATATAACTACTCACTCTTTTACTTGCCTTTTGAGAAACCTTTATTTACTTCAAGCACTTGGCTTTACTAGTAGTAGCCCTGCCGTAAGTCAAAATGTCTAGTAAGACAAGTGATACTGGTGATACTCAGTTTTCTCTGCACAGACAATTTAAGTTGTCTGTGTTACCTCTTTCATAATGTGAAACCTTGTTTTCTCTATCATTACAATTTTTGCTACAAGGGAAACGTTAAATCACTTTCAATTTTAATATATAAATCTGGCAACTGGTAAAAAAAAAAATAATAATAATCTAGTACTACTTGAGTGGGAATGAATTGAGATTTAGCTGAGGTAAGCAATCTGGAGGTACAAATGCTATTCTGATTGTTTTCCTAGTGAAAATGAGCCCAAAACACACATGCAGGAAAAATGCAAATAACTAAGCAAAGCCCTTTTCTGCTTACCTGATTACGGTCGTCTGCTGCAGAAAGAAGAGGTGGCGATGGTAGCGTACTAGGTTCCTGTTCGCCACTACTATGTTTTCTGCCCCAAAAAAAGAGAGTGACATTTACTGTTTTTTTCCTTAATGAGTCACCTGCATTGATCTGCTACTACCATACACTATTCTGTAGTTTCAGTCTGTCATACTTGACAGCCCAGAATATGTACCGCATGTTTTTCCTCAGTACAGGTAAAAATACAAGCTGTTGCATCAAGAAATTCATTACTGAAAGGTAAAGTGTTAAATACAGTGTTTCAGCCAACAACTGGCTATTTGCACAGATACTTATTTATATGAAGATTTAGCTGCTAACAACTCAGTCTGTGAATTCCTAGCATTAAGATCAGACACATTATACACTGATCCATATCAACAGTGTAGTATGCACACTGACATTCATATGACTTCATCTACTTGGCAGGAGTTAAATCCTTTGTATGGCTACTCAAATTATCAAAACACACGAATCGTATGAAGCGATGTGTATTTCTGGTTATTTTGCTAACCTTCTCTGCTTTACAGCAGCAACAAGGTCTGGCCCTGAGAACATGGAGAACAAGCTGTCTCCATTGGCGGAAGAGGTCTCATCACTTGAGCTGGCGGAATCTCCTTGAGTACCAGACCAGCTGTTTGTCACATCACTGGAAGACAAAAAAGTTGTATTAGTCCTTGTATTTACGGTGCCTGGTCCAGACTGTATACTCTAGTTAGCTATGCTGAATCTCTGTGACAGATGACAGAACATAAAAATTTATTATTTTTTTTCTTTTGTAAAACACGGAACATGAATACTTCCACATATTTGCTTCTGAATGATCACATTACTGCTTTATCTGTTACAGTCACTTCGTATATTCTACTAAAGTCATATAAAGTTGTCACAGTCTCTTCTGGTCAGGAAAGGAAAACAAATGATTACTAGTTTTGCCATCACTAAGCTCTCAGCTCTTCCACTGCAAAACTGAGCTAGAATACATACTTGCTCTACTGGTTTTAAGCTAGCCTTAGACTCACAGCTATCATCACATGGACAAACGGACAGAGGTTCTTGAAACACTTTCTTCATAATAAATTGTTATTACTTGGAAGAGATTAAGTACTACTAACATACTTGCTGTAATGTAATGGATAAAATCTGGAAAGCTGAATTCAGTCAGGTGCTGTAACTTCCATTGCATCACTCCTCATCAAAAATACAATTTAAAGGTTTTCAAAATACTGAAATAGGAATGTTTTCAATCTGTTATAAAGCCCTTATTTCCTCTGTTTGAGTCAAACTCAGTACCCATTCTACTCTGAAGAACATAAACAAATGTCAGCGCTTCAGTATCAACATGGTAAGGGCTCCCGTCTCTCTTGTGACAGTGAGCTCCAGCTTTTACAGATGTAGCAGCAATCAGAAAGAAATACCCTGTGTTCCCATGTTCTCCCAAGCTTCACTGTAATGCAGATCCAAACACCAAAAAAAAGAAAAGCAGCCTGTCCAATCTCTTACCTTTCTGTGAAATACTCAGGAAAGGGCCAGGTTTTGTGAGGATCATCAGGAAGAGGCCAGTTGCTACGTGTGTTGCTTGGACGACGAACATGCTGTGCTTGCCTTTTTTGTTGCATAGCCTGGTTGACCCCAGCAACATAGCGGGCAAATTCTGGATCAGACCCCACTGAATAAAACACATGAAGAAGTCAGTTGCTGACATTCAGCTATTTCTACTGCACTTACTCCCTTCATTTAATCCTCTAGACTTGACCATCCCCCAAGAGAAAGTAAGCGCCCTCACTGATAGTAAGTGCCAGACAATTGATGCCTCTTGATGGAGCAGTGAGGAACACTAACAGGACAGGTTTTAATAAAAGTAGAGAAGTATCACTGTACATGGTAGATAATAATTCTTGGGTGGAAATACACCTGCCCCTTGCCAATACTTCAGGGATGAGTATTCGCGACTAAGATCATGTCCATACACTGAACGGTCCAACATCCAACCAACAAACACTGACAGAATTAAAAGCTGTACGTCTATCCAGTCTCAGAGAAAAAACATTTGAATTACTACCGTTGATTTGGGATTGCAACATGATTTCCAGCTATGCTGTGATTCTGCTTGCTTCTCAAGAAATCAGAAGCTCAGATTGATCTCATCAGAACACAGAGACCAGAAGCTACTTCCTACAAAGACTACACAACCATTTTGAAAACATCCTCATCCTGGACTACATGGTATTTCAGAACACGGCTGATATTTACCAAAAAAAGCAGTAATCCTTAAAATAATAGTAATAAAAAATCTTCAAGTCTTAAAATGCTTTACATTTCCCAAATACCTAATCAGCAGTATGCACTACCTTGCGCAGACACAGCAAAAGCCTTAATGCAAAAGTGTTTTAAATGCCCAATAAATCAAAACAAATTATGTATGCGTTAAAAAATACTCTTAGGAGACAGTGTAATTGAATTTCCAAGGCTTTACAGTTGGACTGAATTTACGGAAAATTTCTCAGCTACATGCGTAATAGTCACAACACGAAGCACACAGCTGCTGGCTTGCTTGTCTCAGTTTTAAAGAGCGAAGAACATCGAAGTGTGCACAGCTTGGAAAACAGAAATCGAGATGTCTTTCATGTGATTGCTTCCCTATGTTCAGTTCAGCATTTGAAGAAAAGCTTCTTCATTTTCATTTAGCACACTTAGAAAAGAACTCTGCAATGTTTTGTTGCATACAAATTAAAACTATAACAAAGATAACTTTGTTTCTACACATCCTTCATCATGTAAGCACGGGACAGAGCTACCTGACATCTGTGCAGAAACAAAACATTCTCACTAATACTTGTTTTCTTTGATAAATACTTATGTCAATTTAAGTTGAGATTTGAAGCTAGACATCCTCAGATCTAGGGATTGGTTCTGAAGGGCATGCAGATTTTTTTTTCTGTGGATAGCATTAGGTATTCAATTACTCTTATATTCAAAAATAGCAACTTGTGTTGATTTTTACCTCTGTAAAAACACATCAGATAAACAGCTTTTTATGAGATAGATTCACCTGTGAAGATAATTTAAAAAAACACAGATGTATCAACTTTCCTTCTACTAATAAAGCATTAAGTTCTTCGAGATTATAAAAGTATGGCATAATACATTTTTAGTAGGTACTTAAGTCTTTGACCATGAAAAATCATCAATTTTATCAATTCTTCATTAGCAGCTTTTCATCTGAATAGTCATCTTTTTCAGACTAAAAATATTTATCAAGTATATCTATTTGTTTCACATGACAAAAATCCTAAGAAAGTTTGAAAGTGAAAGTGCGTGTGTGTCTTTTAAAGCTTTCTAGCTAGAGCTTAGATTGAAACCTCCTACATCACAGCTTAACCTGGCATGTTATATGAAGAGAGGTTATCTTTCTAATCTATTTGATTGGAATTTTTTTTTTTTTAATCACACATATACACAGATGACAGCAGGAGAAGGATTTGTGGTTTGATGAAAGGTTTTCCTGTTAGTTCTAGTGCTGCCTCCCTCCAACCACTTTTAATAAATGCATACTACAGAGTTCCTGTAGCTATGTTCCATGCCAACAGAAATTATATTTATGAGAGAATAGATTGGCCTGTTGATCTTACTAGTATGAGAACAATTCATTGATCTCCTCTTCGATACAGACTCTACAATCAATTCCATAGCCTTCAGGCTACATGCTTATGGATATAAAATGTTATCTCACTTCCTCTTTGACAATAATCCCCATAAATTTACAATTTATCGGTGGTTCAAATACATATGGCAAACCACATGGCACTTGCTCTTTAGTCTCTAATCCTTCAACATCAGAGCATTTCACTGCAGTAACAGCTGGAGAGCAGAAACCAATATGATTTCTATGAAACTGCATAGTAATGAAGTTGAAATGCAGGGGTATGGAAAAGATGCAATCCAAGTGTATCTCCAGAGTTCAAGACTGGTAAAGAGCAGGAAAAATAATTTGGGGGGGGAGGCAAAATACGTACATGCATAAGTTAACAATGCTTTTAAACAACTTCAAAAATAACAATAGGAAGAACATTATCTCTAAGTAACTGTTTCAACACTTCAATGTGATCCATATAGGAAAGGTCAGAACTTGTCATCTTAAGCACCTTATCATCTGGTAAATAGCACCAGGATATAATTATTGCTAGCAATACCTAACAGTACTCTTTTCTTTGTAAAAGGATCCTTATAAAAGTAATAAAGAAAAGACACACACCTGCAGGGTCAAAAGGTAGAATTTCTCCCAGCATCCCAAACACTCCATCAGTTTGGTCACGATTTGGCCACGTATTGTTTCTAGGTCCTTGTGGTTTCTGTCCTAACATCTCTGACATCATATTGTCCATATAGCTGCTCACAAGACCCAAACTGTATAAATCAGAGCTTAAATCTGAAAAACCAGGATTGTTCCACTGGTTCATATGAGACAATCCAGCTCCAACAGCTTGGGCTGGCTGCTGTGAAGAATTAGTCAGCCATTTGGTAGGTGCACGTTGTTGTGGTCCAATAGGTTGAAGCAAATGTTGGTAATACTGCATTTGCTGCTGCTGCTTTTGTGACTGCTGTTGCTGTGACAAGCCTTGCTGAGAAGGATGCAGTGGTGTGTGTGAGAGAGACTGTGGCTGCTGTTGTACTGTTCCTGATTTTTGCTCTGTTCCTGTAGAGGATGCAACAGAGTTCCTTCTTTTCACCATCGGAGAAGCTTGCTGGGATTTGCCCATGTTAAAACCAGACAAAAAATCTATAACATCCTGCATTTCTTGGTCAGTTGGTAAATTCATACCTTTGTCATCCTTTCCTTCATCTGGTTTGAAGAAGTTGTCCCGTCTTTCAACTAGAAACCCATTCACTATTTGATTATTTGTGCTCTGAATTGACTGTAATGAATCTGTGGTCCTAGGAAAGTTACCGATGTTTAAAATGCTTTGTAACCGTGCATCTATGTTAGTGGGCATTTTAGTCTTCTCCTCTGAGTTCGAACTTATGAAGATATTTTTGGAAGGTGTATTGGGAATTGAATAACTTCCACTATTACTTGTACTGGTGCAGGAAGTTTTTTTTGTAAACCGTGAAGTCAGTTTTGAGAACGTCTTCTGTAGACCACCTGAAGATTTGCTTCCATTTCCAGATGGCATGTCAACTTGATTCCCAAAGTCTGAGATTTCACGCTGTAACTGGATCTGAATACAAGGCAAAGCTTGCTCCCTGCATCAACAAAAACATTTATCAAACCACTTAAAAAAATTAATTTATCCTAACATCCCATTGGTTGTCTAAAGAAATTTAACTGAGTTTGTATTTTGGAGAAAAATGTGCATTTGGGTAATAGAAAGTGGAAGAAATAAAAGCAAAGGTCTCTCTCAGATTGCTAAATTCATCAGCTTCTTACTATGGTAAGAATTTGAACTATTACTAACATTTGCAATAGCATTTATTACTCTCCTTTCCTTAAGAAACGTTAATTGTGCTTCAAAACCTAAACGGAGGTATTTATTTTAAAATATGTTATATATACGTATTTTAACGCAAGAGAAACATACCTCCATACACATGGATAAGCTGCTGTTTAAAAGAAAATCTCTGTATGTTAAACAGGTACAAGGTACCTATACAGAGTCCCAGTTTCTTGCATGGAAGTTTGACTACTGATTTCCCTTTCTGATGAAGTAGTGCTATCCGAACTCTACAGTACAGCCTTTTCAATGATGATGGCTTTGTTTAAACTGGAAAAAGCGAAACATGAGGCTCAAGAAGAGATGTACCTTCCCTCCTTCCACCTGTGTATGTCAAACACAGCAGTATAGAGCACGTCTACTAGACCCAAAGTCTTCTCTGGATCCAGACTCCTCTGTAGCAAAGACATCGTTGCTGGATCTTCCTTCAAACACCTGTAATCATCAACATTAACATTTAAAAATAAAATCTTTGTATTTCACATTAAACAATTTTACCGTGCTAGTCAGATAATAAAAGGCTAATTTATACACTACTGCTGCTCCTATAAAGGTACAACTAGTAGGGCAGTATAATGCATGAACACCCAAGGGCTCCTAAGGACAGCACCTGCAGTCCCAGTTTCTCTTTTTAATTGTTGAATATACAGCTAATCCAATTTTAAGCTCATTTTAAAATCAGGATTATCTCTTTAGCTGAGCAGGCATAATTCAAGCACAGAGGTAAGAAAAAACAAATACACAAAAACCCATTTTTAAGAAAGTAGCAAGAGTGCTCAGCAAACTTAACAAAAATGCTAGTGCATGACACTTGCATCTTGAGTGCAATCTAGGAGTTCAATGCTAAGAAACACCCAGCCTGACACAGTCAGAATGAAAAATGATTCAGCATATCCAATAGGCTGTAGAACATGCTACTGAGCTGTGAAGGTGCAGAAATACTGAATTTTTTTCATTGATGGCACAGAATTAAGGTGAAATCAGAGTAACTTAAATCTATGTATTGACACATTTATCAAGTATTTAACGAGCCCTCCAGCACAGAAGAGTAAACAGGCGCTGTTGCTGTGTGTCAGTAGGCGGAGCTCTTCCAGAGCACACAAACCCTGGCTCAGAGCACTGCAGTTTTTTCGCTCTTTCACAATAGAGCACTTTATATAAAGAGAACAGAAGTGCCAGTTTCTACTCAGCAGAGGAATTAAAGATGAATTTGGATAAACAGACTATGGGCTGACTTGTACTTCTGGACATGCCAGTGGTACCATTAGTGACAGGCTATCTCACTAAGGATTCACATGAATGATTTGTGTTGCACCAAAACCCATAACACTGAGTATACTGAAGAAAGAGAGGAAGTGTTCTAATTCCAAATTACTGTTTCAAAAGAGAAGTCCTCGCCTGAGAATGAGGATTAGTTCTAATATGCTTTCCTGGGCAGTTAATTAAGCCACTAGGGATGGCATCTCTCGAAACACAGTTCTGCGTTCACAACAGCGCTTAAAGAAAGCTCAGTTAAGAGGGCCAAAGCTCTTGCCTTCGTCTCATCTGATGCCTGACCTTCCTGTGGTAACAGCTGTGGGGACCTGCCAGGGAGGAGCATAACAGGAATATTTCTGGATTTATATTTAACTTCCTCTTTCATCATCCAGCTTTTACATTCTTCTCTTCAGAGGAATGTTGCAGTGCACCAGCCTTGCCTCCCTTCCACTGCCTCCAACAGAGGGAGCACCAGTACAAAGACTGTTGAAAGTCTTTGAAAGTACAGCTGTTGGTCAATCTGTGAGAAGTGGTGGTATTCAATCAGCACAAGGCAAAGGAATTTAAGGTAGATCATAGTATTCCCCGATCCATTTATACTGCATTGTATTTCTTCCCATATACTTCAACAGCCATACCTACTAGTATGATCTACAATACAGTATTTTTATTTACCAAGTTGATGGAACTTGCACCACAATTCTGGATCCTTCTAAACTTATCTGAGGAGCGTAGGCTTCTTTATTTTCAATCTGTGCTGTGTCCACAACCACCTAGCAAATAAAAAGGGAAACGATTTTCAGAATTAGTTCTATTTTATCACCCCTGTATTACAGATGCAATCGTCTCACCTCCCTGCCATGCTACAGGTGCAGAAAGAACCACATAAAAACAAATGAAGTCACAAAATCATTATAAGTTGATTTCTATTTTAATATCTTGGGGGCGGGGGAAAAGAAAGCATACCAAATTATTAGTTTAATACATTAGCCTACATTTCAAGGACTTAATTCCTCCCAATTACATACTATAGTTACATATCAAACATGTACTTACCAGCTGCTTTAGGTAGCAGCTGGTAGTTATCAATGGCTTTGTGTAACAGCCCTTACATTTGAGAAGTCTGAGCTCTATTAAGGTAGTAATTGTGCCAAACACCTATTAAAATACTGTAAATAACCTAACTGCAGTGCACAACATGATACAGACAAATAGTATTTAGTCAAACTCTTCTCATAGCTTGTAATTTTTAACAAACATACCCTCCACCCACCCACACTCATGGTTACAAAATTTTATACCAGTATTTCTTTACTTAATGGAACTATTTATAACAGGGAATTAATAGTAGTGAAGAGAAGAAAAGTGACTGTTCAATTTGTTGAATTCTCAGCTTTCTGTAAGATATCATGAATTTATATGGAAGATGAAAGTCTTGAAAATTAATCTGCTGTCATGAAACTCTTTTTATGGAAACTGAGAAGGAATGGATTCACTTCAGCTTCATTTAAACTTCAGTACCAGTGATAGTAAGTTCCATATTTGGTTTCTGCTTTCTGTTGTTGTCCAGTCTGCATGGGCTGGCCTTTTTGATCATTTCCATAATTTCCTATTTTGGTCATGCTGAACCAGCAGCTTTTTGGCAGCACTCAGCAGTTCTTGCTCCAGTGACTAGCAGATTAGCTGTACCATTTATCCTTGAAATGGCAAAAAGTCCTTCTGTATAAAAAGCCTCAAGGGGCATTACTGGCTTTTTTGCAATCATCCTACACTGGTTCTACTTCTACCTCATTGTCTTTTACTAGTTATGAAATGTGAAATATAAATAGTGCTGAGATTTTGTCTCTCCTGCATTAGCAAAATAATTCAATGATAGTTCAACAACTTTTTCCCATCATTTCAATATTTTAGCATAGGGACTTAGTTTTCCTCCAGTTGTCTCTGAACACTTGCTCAAGTTTATTCCAACTTGTAAAAAACGTGTCTAAGCACAGTTATACGAGGCACCATGCTATTATCTGTTCATGAAAATACCTCTCAATTAATAACAGTGCAACCACATAACATTTCTTCATGGTTTATACCACGTTAATTTTATTTAATTTGGTATAGATTTAGCTATATTGCTAAATATAATCAGTTTAAGGAGAGACTACGATACATAGTTATTTTCTCAGGAGCTGGGGGAAAAAGAAAAATTACTATCTGCATCTGAGACCCTTAAGTCAAAAAGCAAAATTGTCATTTGTGCAGATCTAGATCAGTTCCTGGAAGTGATGCACCATAGCAGTTATGGTCTTGGACTTTTTTTTCCAGGGTCAAGAGCCTGCGTAATATTGTCTCACAATTCATTTATCTGAGTTGTACGCAAAATAAACTTAAAATAAACACATTTGTCACTCCCTGCCTGGTGGGTGCTTAGAGGATAGCTTCCTGTGCATCAGACATCTATTGTTCTTGTTTTACAGGTGTTTCCTCCCTCATCTCCACCCAAAGAATGCTTTAACGAAATAAATTACAGTTTCTCATCATTGCATGAGACTACATACAAGCATAATTAATCTTATAAAAAAATTATGGTATACAGATTACAAAGAAGGACTCAACTCTCACACCCTTTCAAATTGTTAACAAATCAAAAGTGAGAACGAACCAAGAGAAAAGGCTTGCAAGTATTTTACTAAGTGTATAGCTCATTATCATGTCTTTGAAGACAGAAACCTGCTATTTTCAGAACCAGAGATTCAGGCAAAAATCTTTGGAGACACTCTTGCTTCTACTCAGGTAATATTCCTTACACCAGCATTACCATTTGGGAGAATGTCTAAGTAAGTTTTATGCTGACAGCTCTCCCTGCGTTATGATAAACCTGTAGGATATCAGCACTTTAATTACCAGCAGGTCTAACTAGTTATGTCTAGACTGGGGGACACCAGATTTTAAGACTCCTGAGTCAAAATGTGCCTCAGGCCACTCCCAAAATTTCATCAGGGCAAGAATGAAATCCCTACACCTTTGTTTCACTGAAAAGGAAGTGGTGGGGGGTTGCAGCATCCTCCAAGGCATTCCTCATCTAGATGTTCAGGAGCCAAGTCAGGAATTACAGCACACTCCCACAGGGCTACTGAGAAACAGTTTTTTTCTTGGCCTCATTTCCCATACCCTGCTGTTCTCTAAACTATGAGAGCTAAATTGGTTAATACCAATGCCCACCCTAAACTATGAGAGCTGAAGACAATCTCACTTAACCATGGCCCTTTTTCTAGTTGATTTACATTTATTAATATTTAACACACATTTTCAATTGTATAGAAATTTGATCAATCCTACTATTCCACTACTGCTCTCCATCCCTACAAAGATACCGCATCTTATGCCTTCCTAAAAGTGCTTAACTCACTACCATTTCCTATCCTCAAATCACCATACTGGAGTGAAGTAAGGACTGATGGCAGGTATGTTGTTGTTATGATACTGATGGTCTGTCCCTTGTTTATACAAGTCACTTGAATTCAGCTATGATTTGAACCTACTTCTCCAGCATATTTAACATGAAGTGGATATCTAATACCTAATACAAAATGAATATTGAAATAGAAGTATCTGACATTCATTGTTATTGGAGAATGTATTAACAATACCAAAAATGTATGGTTTAATCAATTAATAAGTTAATTTAAGTTTACTCAGAATTCTTGATAGAAAATCATCATCAGTTATGGTGTATCTCTATGCATGCATATCCTTCTTATCCTACTGCACTCTTGCCCCCATTTTATTTGCCCAGGTAAGTGAGAACTCACAGTTCAAAAAGATGTATTTGTTATGAGTGAACACTTCATTAAAAGAAGATATGGCACTAATTAGTTATTGAAGTACTTTTAGCAGTACTTAGCTACTCTAAAATGTCTGGGTTTTTGTTTGTTTGTAACGAACACGTCTACACAAAATCATTTAATAGCTTTGTCTTGTGTTGGAGGTGTCAGGTGCCAGGTGCAGAGGACTTCCTGGCTTCTGTTGAGCAGGAAGCCTGTTTCCATTCAAATCAGAGAGGAAATGGAAAAATGGCAGTTTTCAAAGTGCAGCTAAGAGAAGGGGCAGCGTTAACATGGTCATCTATAGCAAAATAGAAAGATTTTCAAATCTATCTGTTGAACTTAATTTCTTATGTCCCCCCTAATCCATAGAGAATATGAAGTACACAGTATGTTCTCCTGTTCCTATCAACTACAAAAAATATCTCCGAAGAACTTGCATTCCATGAGGATACATCGTGTTCATAACTTGAATTAGCTGCAGTGCTAAAAACTGACGAAGAGGAAGACATAGGAAATTAATTTCCAAACACCTCAAAATATCTATTTTTTGGTCAGGATGTTTAAATCTTTTTCTTTTGCTAAGCCTATCTATAGTTACTTACCAGTCCAGCTTGGCCAAATAACAATTGTACAGCAGTTTTGCAGGCTCCTCGCCAAGTCGAAGGGCAAACCTGATTTAGTACTTCAGTAACAGGAGAGTCATCTCGTGGTGTAAGTCCATTATGGCATCCAGCTTCTTTAATTAACTGCAGCATCGTGTGCTGAAAAAAAAAAACCAAAAATTTTGTGACACAAAGCACGTTTCAGCAATGTTAATACCAATGCCTCCATATGTATTTACCATTGGTTCTATAAATCTTCAAAACTTCTTCAACCAACTACAATGTCTATTACCTCTAAACAGTCTCGTGAAACTGTAAGAGCTCAACTGCAGAATAGAAATATGGGAGACAGTCTCTATTTGAAAGAGTCAAACACGATAAGCACTATTTAGCTTTTGCTCTTGCAAAACAGTTAATGAAAAATACAAAAAAAAAAAAACAAAAACACTGCAAAGACAACAGAAAAACATTTTAAGCTGTGAGTTGTTTCAACTCTTTCAGGAACAGGGAACTAGCTTTATCTGAAACAGTGAAAATGCTCATTAAAATTGCCCAAATTACTTCTGAATGGTTACCTTTTCTTTATATTGAAAATTTGATCAACTTTTCCACAACTTTTAAAAATACATTTTAAATATATTTTGAAAGATTGCTTAAAGTTTGTAAGAAGAAAGGAAAAAGCATTTTGCAATCAAATTCCTTTTAAAGCATGCCCCTCAGCACTAGAATGGCATGGGCCTGACTGATTCTGGAACCTAAGAAGATAAAAGCTCTGAAGTACATCACTTGCTTGGGGCAACTCTAAGGGCTCACTTTGCTCTGCAGATTTTGATACCTAACCACCTAATTTCAGTATTCATAGCCTCCTAGCTTCATTATCTCCTAGACTTTTGTGTTTCTCTTAGATTGGACTGAATTTGCCCAGGTGGTTAAAATGTTATCAGAGAAAGGCATGGACCTACAATGTTATCACATCTTGTTTCCACAGGAAGTCAGACTAAAAATATGCACTTTTAAGTACAAGTCTGGCACTGAACTCCTTAAAACTCAGAGAACAACTGCAGTAGGAGTTCTACTGATTTTTATTTTTAACTACTGCGGTTGGATGCAGGGCTATTACCGTTTTCAGTTTCAGGTTTTCTGCTGCAGACTCATTAAAGGATATCCCTTTCAGAAAATGTGATCCTATCTGAACAGGTACAGTGGGCAGTTCACACTGAATTGGCTGCGGTGGAGTCTGTCTCCTTCCTGTTTGCTGGGCTTCAGCTTCACTGCAACAGCCCTGAAGTATAAGAGAATATATCAATTAGAAAGAAATGAAGACATTAAAAAAGAACCTTGCTGTCATTTTTTTTTTTAAAGCAGTTACTTTCAAGGTGAGGAAGGATGAAAGAGAACAGGTTTAGCAGATCATACCTGAAGACTTGCTTCAATAGCTTTTGGGTTCAAGTGGAAGCCAGCTTTCATTGCATATTCACAATGGCCTAGGCTCTCCAAAGCCACTTTGTAAGCCTGAAATTAAAGAAAAAGTTGAAATGGAACAGCCACATCAGCAAAGAAGTTGGCAGTCATTGCATCTGGATACACATGTAGAAATTATTAAGTAAGCAAACCTGTACAGCACGTATGCGTTTATCATATAAGACCTCGACTCTGGTAATTCTCAGATACCTCATGGCTGCCCATGGTCTATATTTCTGCAATAATATATTCCTTCCCTATTTCATTCATTGACCCCCTGACTGTACTAGACACACATAAAAGCAACAGACTTTAAAAGCTCACCTGCAAAGCACTATCAATTTTCATGTTTAGCTCTTTGAGCTGATGTTCAGGGATTGCCACACTCTGTGAGCAGAAAAGTTGTTGAACTTCAATTCCTGCCAAACATCCATCACAGCCTCTTTCTCGCAATCGAGATGTTGCCTGTAATGTATGGAAAAAAAAATACTGGGTAAAGAGATTCAACAATAAACTAGATCACAATTAAAAAAGAAACAAAAACAACAAAAAAAAACACACAAAGTTTAAACATCATAAAGGAGGTGAGAAGAAGCACTTGGTGGAAAGGATCTGGAGTTGGTTATATATTAGAACTGATTTAATTTCTACTGCTACTTTGAAAGTACAGATCTCACATAATTTGTATGGCATACAGGTGCTGGCTAGCAACTCAAGTCAGTATTGGTTGCTCTATTTCAATTCTTTTTCTTATCTAAGGATCCCGGTTACATAGGCAACATAATGAACACGGTTTGCTGAGGAGAGACTTATGTACATTAAGGTATGCTTTATAAAATTAAGGGTGGTTACTGCGGTGCAATTTTAGAAGAACCACACAAGACTGTAAAATCAACTGAGTACAGCAAGGGCGCAGCAGCTTTATGTAATATGATTTTAAAAAATGAAAAATATGAAAAGACAAATATCTGTTCGTAACAGTACAATAAAAATAGCACACTACTGAGCAAAGCAAAACAAATAGAAACCTATTCCCAACCACATTTAAGACCTCAGACACTTAATTTTTCAGTCTAAGGAGTCGTACTCTAGAACATGACGCCCAAATTGGGGATTTTTGCTACTGCAGCCAATGAACAGATGCATCAATTACTTCCACAACACGTGTAAAGTTACACCATTTTCCAACTGAAATTCTTAAAAAGGAAAAGTAATTTTGAACTACACGCAAACCATCATAAACATTGTTCTGAAACAGTACATAGTCTACTGCCAAACAGGCTGGTTTTATATGGAAATAACGGATTGCCCTCCACTCTCCCATGTAAAAATTCAGAAAGACTTCCGTATTCCATGTCTCCCTTCTATCAAGATGAAATAGATACGACATATAATTGGTGTATCTTCAAGACAAGAGAGAAAGATTATTTACTTACAGAGATTTGTTTTAGAGCTTTTTACTTTACTATCCTAAAATCCAACATAAACCTGCTTCTTCCCATGTATGGATGTTTAATACAGGATTGAATTAATTGTATTAAACTCAATTTTGAAATATAGGTGATATCAACAGAAATAGCTGAAGTAGACTGTTCTTATGCAAAAGATGTAATATTATACCAGGATTAGTACTGTTACGATTCTATAGAATACACCTAAAGCATTCTGAAATCCTTATTTCGTCCAATGAAAGAAATCTATGCTGCCGTAGAAATTACCAATAATTCATCTGCGTTCCAAGTTTTAAGGGAAATTTGTTTGCTTGCATACACCTTGCAGATGTTAGTTGATAAATGGAAACCCTGACAAGATTTCCAGTCAAGATGATTAACATGCCCATGCACATTGCCAAATTAGACTTCAAAAGCACAATGCTCTAGGTTACTTTAAATTTAAAGAAACCATGTGCGCAATGTCTGAAGCCATTTCAATCTGTCAGTCTGTAGACTTCAATAGTGTACAGGGAAAGCAGAAAAGCTCATAAAACTATTTTTCCTTGTATTTTTTTTTTTTTTTTGGCAGGAAAAGTAAGGATTCCACAGATGGCAAGTGTTAGCTAAAACCCAAGTCAAGAGTGGTGTATTTAAGTAATATGATTAACATTCCAAATGGAATCAAACAACATCAAGCCTAACAGATAACTCTCCTTCAGTATGAAGACAAAAAATGTTAAAAGATACCATAAAAAATTTGAAATATAAAATTGAGTTCATGCTCACAATTTAAGAGGTATAGATGTTATCTAAGTTATTTTTCATCTAAAATTTTACTCTGCATCTGCAAAGACTTTCCACTCAACCACATTTGAACACTGTTAATTCCTTTCTAATAACAAACAGCTGTTTCCACTGTTTGTACACTCCTTATATACACAATTGATCATGAATAAAAACTTTTTACAGAGCATAGATAGTATAAACACCATGTAGGTAAAACAGATTTTAGCATCTGAAACTAATTGCACTGCATTCCCTCCTTCAAATGTAGGATTTTTTTAAAATCAAAGGTTTTTTTCTTCCCTTATCAGGGCACCCAGGCTTTGATTTTGGTTTCATCAAGTATAAAGCAACTTCACTATAGCAAGTCCTCCATACCTCTGCTGCTCCTCTCCATGATCTTATTGCATCTTCCAGCTCATTTGTGGGGCTTAAATTTGAGGCTCCGGCCCCACTAACACTCTTTCTTTCCTGGCCTACAGCTTCAGCAAAGCAAGAGTGTGCCACTGGCTGGACCTTCTGCAAAGCTTGTGACAGGAACTGAAAGTGGACCTGCATCACTGTCAAGAAACATCGCCCAAGCACCTGTAGGAGGAAAAAAAACAACGATTTCAAGTAAATAGATTTTATAGAAATAGTTCTTCCTTTTTGTTCAATGCTTGTGTAAGCCGTTAAGTAAACTCAGATCTTTAATTAAAAATATAATAATGAATTAGACCTAAAGTGACACATGACATTTAACCATTTACCAAAGCTAAACAGTGAGGAACAGTTTCTGTGACTTAAGGAGAAATCAGAGTGACATGGTTGATGCAAGCTTTGTGCCGTCTTTCCTTTCTGAGATCAAGTTAAGATTATTTGAAGAATGAAAAGCTTTAAGTTACTTCACAATATCAAGCACATGAAACAATAAAAAAGTAGCATATTATCACAAGCAGAGTCAACAGCATAACCCATTCGCACACAGACCTAGCTGAATTTGTGCTAAAAAAAGTTAACTATTTTAAGATATGATCACAAAATTAGAAATTTAATCCAGAAGTTTATCTTCCAAACAGAGCGACTATCAGTAATACGCATGAAAAACCTTTTGCCACATAATACGGAGAGGCACCATTTTTAGAATATAACAGTCACTGCAGAAAACACGCACAAAATTGCAGCTCTGTCACTTGCATTGTTTGACAGGAACTGCTAACACTGGCACAAATCTTCTCGTCAGAATATCTCACCGAAATGGGTCACGTAATACCACTCATCTGGAAAGCAGGAGGAAGAGTAGGGAAGAGCGAGCACAGGAGAAGCTGCTGGTCCATCCCCACAGCCGAGGGGGCTGGGGGTGGCACCAACAGCACCCCAAATCCTGTGGGTGCCACAGCCAGCTCCATGTCCTGGACACGTATAGTAATGCAGTAATGGCCTCTGCACCCCATGCATTCCCAGTCCATTTTATCTCCCTCTCTCGTGCTAATGCTGCTCCTGAGAATTATGACCAGAGACAGACATATGCTTCAGTTACTACAAGCAAAACAAAAATCTCCAAAACCGAGCATTACGCCGCAGCCACCGTGTGTGAACAGACTGGTGGAGTACAACCATGTGAAAGGGCAACCTGGAGGACAGGACAGCACGAACACAAGCGCTCTGCCTGCTTGCAAGGCCACTCCTTCCTGAGTGGACAAAAGCTTACAACAAAGCACAACTAGGGTGCAGGAGAGGAGCAAGTACTTTCCAAATTGCCATAAAAGCATTTAATAACTATTCAAAATGTTTTCTTTCTTTTATGGAGTTTGTCACACGAAGTGGTTTGAAATGTATATTTGGCTTTCATTTATTAAGAGACTAGACTTGAATTCCATTTTAGGAATAATTCATAAAATACACAGATAATGTACAAAGCCATTGTGCCTTGGAGCAAGTCAGTCATCTGGCTTATTTTCAGCTACATTCTTCTGGAATAAAAATATTCAGACAATGATCTTATTGGCAAGATGCTGTAGTCACACAAACAGTTATATGCATTAGCTATCTACTTTAAAAGACTCCGTGGTGGCAATTCTTTTTTCCATTGCATCCGGTCTCCTTTTGACATTCCATTCTGGTTCAATCACTTCCTTTCTTTGTACAAGGCATAAAATTAAACATTTTTGGTACTTTGACTGACCCCTGAAAGTGTAGTTTGCACTATTAAAAAAACACTCAGTGAATGATCAAATGAATAAAATTCTAACTTTCCTGACTACAAAATTAGAGAGGTTTATAAGAAAACTGCAGGGAAAGACTGGCAATCTGAATATTTCTGAGTATGAAGAATGCAGTTCTCAGGGGAAGGAAGAAGAAACCAGGACTCATTAGGAATGTCAAGCTGATTAAGTTTCAAAGAATATTTAAGGTACAGAGGTTGAAGTTTGCCCTGCCTGGGAATAATGCTCAAAATAAACAAATGATTTAGTTTTTAAGTGGCACCACACAACATTCCTAATGTAATTTATAATGTTAAACAGTAAAGACAAATAGGAACATCTGCTTTACTGAACTTCTATTTTGTTTGAAAAATAATCTATTTCAGTCTTCCTCAGAAAACAGTAAGAGTGGTTTTAACTGCTTAAATAAAATCCAATCGGTGGAAGATTTTTGCTCGCTCCAGATGACAAAGTCGCTTTGCTTCAAAATTCACTTCTTGAGGATTTTCTTCCAAAGAGCTCAGTCTCTGTCTTCACAGTGGGAAAGAAGTACGACCACCACCAGTTTAACAAATACAGCCGAGGTCAGCCAGCGGTTACCGAAGTGCGTAAAGCAATACTCTAGATCTCTGTTGCAATATCTGCAGAGCAACATTAACATATGGATTTGGTGTTTTCACTATTAGAAATACCACCATCTATTTCCAGTTTATTTTTCCTTACTTTGTCGTGCAGAAGTGTTCAGTTCTTCTTAGACCATAATAAGAATTTAAAACTAGAGACCTTTTAATAATCAAGGACGAACTGGAACTGTTGCAGTTGTCAAACAGTAGGTTCCTCTTGATGGTGGTATTTTCTTAAACTATTTCTTAGACTCATTTCCATTGCATATACCATGACGTTTTCTGGCTTGCAAACTTTCCATCCCAAGAAATACACCTTTAGCACCTTGACTTTCCTAACCCTTTACCAGGTAGGACAATGATCTATCTAGGAATGACCTTACCTAAAAGCAATCTGGCATCATAGTTAGGCAGTTGAAAACAATAAGACTTTTGGGGAGGTGTTGCGTCAGACTTCATCTCAGAAGCAGGTGATGAGTTTAATCGAACTGGTTACATACAAACCCAAGCATCAGATGGGGATGCAGTGGTAGGTTACATTTTTATTTTTTTCCCCAAACAACAACAAAAACATCACAACACAATTATCCAATGGTTTCCTACTACCTTCATTTCCCTTATCACAGCTCTTTATGGCTTTGCTGACAACAAGCCCTATGCACGACCTGCCTACCCACCAAGGAACCAGATTAAAATAGCAACATAATTAAGTTAACAATGAGCCATTACTCCAACTGGTGTACCAGATTATAAGATAACCACCTTTCCCACATATTACTGGAAGTGAACAGAATATTACTTTTTTTTTTTTTACTACATAGCAACGCCCTGCAGTTTGGAAGAGTGATCTCATACAACCAATCCTGCTCACTAACAAAGAGTCACCTGCAAGATAAACTAGATTCCAGTGTAAGTTGTACCTCTGCATTTGCAGTATTAGGAGAGAGGAGCAACTTAACAGACTTGCCCAAATAAAAGGTTCCTGAGTACCTCTTCAGACGATACTGCTGAGCTACCACTCAAGACACTGAGTGTCACCTAGTAGAGATGCTGGAAAGGGAACTTCAGATGTTACCATATTCCCTGCTCAGTCCAGTGAAAAATTATCCTGAATCTCACACTCCTTTTTCCCCGGTCAGTGAACACTCATGAAGTCACATGCAAGCATTCCACTGTCTCTGCTTTCATTATGCAGATTCAGAAGTTTTTTAATCCTGCCTCTAGTTTTATGAAGATGTTAACGTTTCAGAAATCAGGAGAAATAAGAATTTGTTAAAGTTTTCACATAAATAGTTCTGTATTCAAACCACAGAGAAGCAGATTAGGAGAGGATCCCCAAAGTTCATCCTACTGTCCCAAGGAAGGGGTAATTTCACTGAGTCAGTTCTGCTAGACACAGGTTTAACCTGTTCTGTAAGGTCTCCATGAAGGAGGCTCCCTACCCTTCGTAGCAATCCACTTCAGTGCTTCTCTGACATTACGAAGTATTTCCACAACATCCCATATGAATGTTCTCTTCTGAAATTCAATTTTATTACTTCTTGCTCAGTCTTACGTGGACATGAAGGACAGAACATTGCCACGTTGTTCTGGCTGCTTCTCACATACCTGCAGGCTTCTGGTTTTCCTTCTCAGTCTTTCCTTCTGTACAGTCAGTCCTTCCAGTTTGTCCTCTGAAGTCCTATTTTCTGGATGCCTGATTACTCCTGCTATTCTCCTCCGATGTCCCTTCCAGTTGCTCACTACATTAAGTGTAAGAGCAGCAGTGCCTGGATGCGGTGTTGTATTTAAGGCCACAATAGCCAAATGAAGAGTTTAATACTGATTCCATGGTTCGTGCAGGTTATAGTTACATTAAACACATGACAACTGTCTCTTTGCAATAGCACCAATAACGATTTATGCTTTGCAACAGCACAATACTGACTTCTATTCAGCACAGGACTGCCATAAGCCCTAGGATTGTTCTGCAACACTACTGCCCATGGGCACTGCCCACACCACCTGTGAGGATAATTTCTATTTACATTCTGTAACATTCAGTTTTCCCCTCTAAGTTCCACCACAACTGGAAATCTTAAACTGAAAAGTAGGTTATTTTCAGTTCTGTAGGTCTTCCAGAACACTTGGCCCACGTACTTTCTGATCACTTACAAACTTAAATATATTCTCTATCCTGACCTCTAGCAAGGTCAATTTTGACAGTGAGCAACTAGTAACTGCTTCCTGGGTTACACCGATCCAGTCAGGTTGTCATCTACTTACATCACCCACACTACGATCTCTGTGTGATCTGTGTCAGTTTCAAACAATTTCTGCTGGTTCTTATACAAAAGTAGAATGTAATACTCCTCTCATTTTCCAGAAGTTCCCATAAATTCTGCATGCTGACTTTTTATAAAGTATGTGCAAGATACAGCTTTCATTAATAAGAGATGCAAGAACTGTACAGAGACAAGTGAGTAATTACCACAAAGTACACTTAAAAAGAAACCAAGAAGCCAAGCTGTTTTGCCTGCATTCTCTTTGTATTTATTCCTACCATAGATAGAGGTACCTGGTGAAAAGAGCACTGAAGGTACACACAGAGCTTAGGAGCAAGCTTCAGGTCATCACAGGCATTGTGACTGTCTTTAATCACATGAACGTGCAGTGATTTTTAATTAATAGACACTTTTCCTACAGCCCTAGAGAAACAGTGATGCTATTAGATGGTTTTCAAAAACAAAGATCTAGAGCAAATACCGCAAATACCTATAGCAAATATACATACTATAAAATCTATAGACACAAATTCTTTGCATACTAGGTATACAACATGAGAAAACGCTGATCATACTTCTCACTACAATTATGTAGTACAAATAGCATTCTGCTTAACTACTTCATCCATAAGTTGTACAGCTACAGAGAGCAGATCACGCTTGATAAGCAAGTGAATATAACATTCAGGTAACTTTGTAAGGATGAAATCTGAACCAGAAATAGGAACTGAAGAACAAGTTTTCTTCTCAGGATGGAATTCTGTAGGAAGAACTTTGCAAAGGCTGCTACAAAAATCAAGAAATACATCAAAATATGAAGAACTACTTAAAACAGCAGGGATTCATACATGAAAACATTTAGCATTATGCCTTACATGATTAAGAAGTTTACTACAGGAAAACATACAGCCAGACAGGACTGCAGTTGTAGATGCTATCCTAAACTTCAAAATCTCAGAATTTTGACTGCTGGGCACATGCTGCCAGCATATGGAAATTAAAGCAAAGTTGTGACAAATTTTTACAGTACAAGTATTTCATGTTCATGTGGTATTTTCTTTTTAGGCTTAACAGCTCACAAAGTAAACAAATAGTCTGAAGAGTGATAAAATGTTGTTTTTGGATCATTTGTCAATTGATACGCAGTTTTACACAAGCACTGATAGCTTATATCCCTCTCTTCAGTGTTCAGATTTTCACCCAGAATTGATAACACTAAGGAAAATATGGTTTAATATAGAATATGATGGCCCAATATTATTAGAAGTTAGCTAACACAGAACAGGAAATCACAGCGCATCTGGTGCTGGAAGGGACCTGCAAGGATCCTTGAGCCCAACTCCTGGCTCCACAGAAGACTACATAAAAAAATCAAACAAAGGTTTACAACTTTCATTTACTTACTTAGGCTTGTTAGTTTGGGGCAGTGGGGTGCTGGGTTTGTTTGCTTTGCTTTAATTATTGTAGGGGGGTTTTATTTATTTGTTTTACACTAGGCATGTTTTCCCAAGTATGAAAGAGGTTACTGGATTTCTCATTTTAAGTTTAAATCATACAGAAAAATAGCTTTTAGAATTAGGTAGATAATACAACTTAATCTTATTTCATAAAAACTTTAAATTTAGTGCAAGTCCTTACACAGAAATACCCACTAAACATCTCACTCAACATAGTTTGAAACTCACCACTGGAAGTCATTTAATTCTGAGAACAAAAATGAAAATGCTTCTCCTTTTATCAGTGCTGCCCACAAATACAAAAGCAAGGCAAAAAGAACTTTCAGCATAGCACTGATTTTAAGTAAAAGTCCAATTACGAAGGAATGATATAAATTCACATGCAAAACAGAATCCCCCAAGGTAACTTACCTCAATGTCTTGTAGGCTGAATTCTTTTTGATCTTTAAAGTTCGCAGCGCCTGCACTCAGTTCCATCAGCATTTTTGCTATTTCTGGTTTTATTGCTGCTGTGAGTCGACTCGCTGCTTCCATGACATGTTCCTGCACGTCTTTCAGTTGCATAGCTGCCTTAGAATAGTGAGAGTTCCTAAATACACTGCTGAAAAGGTCTGTAAGGAAAGTGCTCGTACGGCAAAACACGTTGAGTGCATCCAGATATTTGGAGATTCCCTGCTGGATGTCTGCAATCGGAGTAGTATGGGATACAGGGTGGTTGCAGCTGCCCGCAGCAGCTGAGGAGACCAAAGGGGATGCTGGGGTTGTAGATGCCAGCGGTGCGCTCAGGGTCCTGCCTAGCTCAGGCATTTGATACTGCTGGTGTTGCTGCACTTTTTGCTTGGACCCGCCAAGCAAAAAGCGCCGCTTATAGTCCATTTTGCTTTCTTGTGCACTACAGCAATACATAAGTGAGTGCTTGTCCGAAGATCTCTTGAATTAACAATCACTTGTCAAACTCCTTCCCCAAATATATAGTTATGTACAGTAACAGTGGAGGACTGTGTACATAGGTTTCACAAAAGGCATTTCAAAAAGGCAAGTGTCTGTATAATCTGTATCAGCAGTGAGAAAGGCAGCAGACTTGCTGACTTAGTATTTTCAGTGTTCAGTGCAGCCCTGCTGCAGTTACAAACTGTACTCAGAAAGCAAGCCGACGTATCTTAATAATGCTCTGTCTCCTTCAGTATTCCACTCTGCACACAAAAAAGCAACACTGGAGCAGAGAAGTTATCACCTACAATTTCTTCATGAGCATATTATTGTCACTTGCTGTTAAAGTTTACAAAAGTTATTTTTGTCAACGCAAATAATAATTTTAGAAGCAATGCTTTAATACATTTTTCCAATTAGTAATATCAGGAAAAGTGGAGCAAACCACCGATCAACAGCGATTATAAAAGCAGTGCAGAGGCTTCTTCCTTAAAAAAGCAAATCCTTATGTCAGCAGATCAAATATCTTCAAATGTCTTGACAGATCCAGTCTGCCAAATCAGTTTACTTGTAGTGTCTCTTCTTAATACTGGAGGGAAAAAAGATCTGGACTCTGTTTACAGAAGACCTTGCAAGTATAAGCTACTAAAAATTAGAGTGTTTATTATTGCAAGCCTTCTTCCCCTTTCCTTGTTTGTTGAGGTAGTTGTTTCCGTTGTAACATTAAGAAATGGTGCTTCCAGACTGCATTTGCCCTCAATTGTAGACTCAGAACAAAAATGTACAAATGTATTTGTAAGGCCTCTAGGTCATTTCCTGTGAAGGAAGAAAAAAAAGTTTAAAATGTTATGGAACAATGAACAGTTTTTAAGATCTTAATTCCTGCAGCGTCCTGGTATACTTCTCCAGGCATACGTTGTCAATGACACATAGACCGAAAGGAAGGGAGAGCTGCACGGGCTGTTCAAAAGGCAGCTACAAACTGGTATCATCATGTCACTGAACTCAACACCGCTGAGTGTTTTCTTATTAATTCTCCCAACCTAGACTCAAACTTGAGTAGCAGTTAATCCCCACTGCAGCCCTTACACAGCTAAGAACAGAAGAGTCTATTAGTGCAGACCTTAGGGGGAGTTAATCACATTTTCTAACCTTATCCTTTTCAAATAATTCAAAAATTAAGTCAATGAAACCTTTTTTCACATATCATAATTCACTGCAGAAATATGAGACTTCCATTCTTTCTAGTAATTTACTAAATCAACATCCAGTTTTTTTTTTTTGTTTTTTTTTTTTTTCTGTACAACAGCAGAAAACAGCAGAAAAACCTGTCTATATCCTAACTGAGACCCTGTTTCAGGACGACGGCATGCATCTATCATACTGGCAAGATCTTATACAAGACAGAACTGCCTAACAGATTGGCCTGAACAGCAACCCCACCAGACACAAAAGTAAGGGGGAAGTAGAGCCACTAGTATCGCCCTACTCCTACTGGCAAACTGAGGTGCAGCTGGACAGCCAAAAGCACTTTCTGGAAGGCATTCGTAGGGAGGTGAAGAGAGCCTGAGCAGTGAGAAGGGGTCAGTTTGCAGCAGGTGACGTTCAAGGCCAGAGCTGGAACTTCTGAAAAAAGGCACGAAGATCTTTAAGTCCCTGCTCTCAGCCAAACATAGCTCCTAACTGGACAGGGTCTGGCATCTCAGGACCACGTATACAAGTTAAAGTTGTATCTATACAATGATCACACTTACTCATAAGCAAAAAAAAACAAAAACAACAACCCTCTGCTTTACCGTGTCAAGACACTATCAGAAGGGACATATAACATACAGATATACAACGTTTTCTATCTGTTCCTAGGCATCAGTCACACTAAGCCACTCTCTCTTTCTCCTACACATGTATGTAAGTTGATTTATGTAAGTTGATTTCACCAAACGAGGACATTCTTTTTCTTACTGCATCAATTACATTTTACAATGTTAGTATCAAATAGTAACATCCCCCCCCCCGGTACTTTAAAGAATAATCTAGATTTAATAGGAAGGAACTCTTTAATTCAACAACAATTTATTTCTTTTGCTATTACATTTAAGATATGAAACCTATTCTAATATTGTCAAAACAGCTGGGGAATAGAGATTGTACCTTCAGACAAAATTTCTTCAGACTGGTAGAAAAAAAACATCAATTCGCTCATATAATGTGTTTTGACAGACGAATGAAACAAAACCTCAGAAAAAAGAAGGCAAGACACAGCAGGACAGAACAACATGAAGGGAGTGGGATAGTCTCACACCCACTAAAACAACAGACACAAGTTTTTCAGGAAGTTGCTGCTGCAGATGGTTCTGCTTCTGAGATCTAGAGCAAATATTCTTCCACATTCCCACTTTTTAAAACATGAGGAACAGATAAAACATGGCAGACGTTCCCATACGCATTTCGACATCCCTTATTAAAATATTTTAGGCTGATTACTTTATTTCCTAATAACTAACTTTACACTTCTCTCAATATTCACATTGAGTGCACTGAAGTGCAGTAAGTCTGTTAAAATGGATTCTTACTTTGAACGAGTCAGTGCCTTACAGTAGAAAAATCATTTCTCTTGATTGCATAAAAACGTAGACAGAACAAAAGAGTTAATCTATACGCATATTATAAGTAAACTGGTGATTATTTTCCCTAAGTAGACATAAATTCCACAGTGCAGAAGAAATTAAGGAATGATCATGAAACATTGAAGTGTTAATGCCAAAAGTAGGAAAAACTAATTAAGGAGGAGTTTGTGCTACACAGCCCTGAATTAGGCATTAGAGATGCACTATGCTTTGGTTCTTCATATTGAGCCTTTCAGGATCAAACTGAGGTACTGAATTGGTAACAGTCCAATATTTAACTCATACAAAAACCTGCTACACCCTAAAAACATAAGTGAAATGAATAGAAAAGGTGGTGTTTTCACATTTCTTACAGCCATGAACAAAGACGATTGATCACTGTTTTACTAACAGACACTTTCACAGACAAATCTGTAAGAACATATTCAACTCTTCATCTCATAGGCTTCAAAAATCACTTGTAATAAAACCAACACAGAAGCTTACAGCAGACAGCTTATGTCCCTAGCATCTAAGAAGATACACGTTTCTTTAAAGAGAGAACAGTGACAGGTCTTGTCCAGACAGTAGGCATGTGGGTAACACTACAAGTATTACACATTCTATAATGAGACTCCAACATGCTATGTATAAAGTAAACACTCTTCCTTTTGTATCTTTTCCTGAAAAAGTGAAGAGACGACCGTTCCCACGCTCCCCCCTCCCTCCCCAGTGCTGCGGCTCCACCGCTGCTCTTGGCTCACGGACTGAGTGGAGACTCCACGTTTTAACAATTTGAACTTTGCATCAATCCAGATCATGCTGTATCAGAAAAAAAATTCAAAGGATTTCATTCTGGCAATACAAGAGTAGCATGTTATCTGTCCAAAATGCAACTGTGAAGTTTGTGTTTCATTTTGCAGAAAACAGATACTCAGAAATCAAGTACAGAAGTTTCAAAGAGTTAGCATACCACAACTCAAAAAGTTGTATGCCTTCCTTTATGTAATCAAGGTCAAAATGTTCATATACAGTTAGAAGTATATATTGGTATAGAAAGCTTACCCATTGTAACTGGGAGTTGATTCATTTTAAACTATCCCAAACTAAAGATAGATTACGTCCACAGCAACAGAGCATATTTAGCATCTACAAAACAGATCCACTTAAAAGCACTAGAAACTGAAATCCACGTGCCAGAGAAAAACAAGTAATAACAGAATTCATTAACAAATTTCATAAGCTGAGAAATTCAATTCTGCCTTCAACTTCACTCTCAATTAATATGCTACATCTATTTAAAGTTGCCATATCAATGACAATGAGAATATGCAGAAGTTTCTCAACAACTGTATAACATTCGATCCATCCATAAAAAGAAACAGCACGGAATTAAGCTACATTACAGGGATTGTCATGCAATTGAAAACATAAGTTAAAAACAAAAGTCTACATATTGCCGGAAAATTCTAAATTATATGTTTTTTGAAGAAATCTTACATAAACATAGCAATAACAATTCTGTGATACAAAAACCATAGAATTAGCTTGTGGAACCTGATAAACATAGTAACAAGTTACCACAACAAGAAGCTACTTCTCATATACTAGTAGTTATATATGAAAGGTATATGAAAGGTGACAAAAATCCTTTTCATATTATATACATTTTAATCTAACCTTCCTGGTAGGAATGCAGCATTTTTCATAAGGTCATTTACAGTTGCTCAAGATTTCAAACAACTATTTCACTTTCTCAGCTGAGGAAATGTGGTTTTGGTGGTTTTGTTGTTATTGTTTTGAGGCTTTATTTATTTATTTATTTATTAAAAATCAAGCAATAACAACTTTCACACTTTCTTAGTAAGAGAGAAGCTAACCTGGTTTAGATGCAGTTTTGATCAGAGCTAACACATTCTGATTATTCCTACAAAGCTACTGAATCCCTTCAGCCTCCAGCAGCAGTGGGACAGACTGACCTGCTGGACACTTCTGCATGCCACCATGTCCACACACAGGGAGGTTTAACAGAAACGGCAGGCTTCTCTTCATATTATCTTCTCACACTGCCTTTATTTCTGATCTGCAAAGCCCATAGCTGCTCCTATTCACCAAGGGTGAACATTGGAGACCATCTGCAGGTAAGCACATCCCCATCCCCACCTCAGCCCAGTTCCTGAGGTTCAGTCACAAGGACCATTTTCAGTGGAGCCAGCAAGCTGCTTCGATGTGCTGCATTATTGTAGGATCTCCAAAAACCAACAAAAGAAAAGGGCGTGATTTTATATTGGCACAAACCAATCACAGAAATACCCCTCAAAAATCATCTTTTGAGGATGTTGAGGAAACACAGCACAGTGTGTTTTGGGA